CCGGTTAAGCTGATCCCAGAGCCCGGCTCTGGTATTTCTCAGTTTTTGAGATAAATCATAATTCTAGCCAAAGCTCTAAATAAGAGGGCTCTGGCACTTCTTTAATTAATTAAACCACAATTTCAGCAAATTCTTTTGAATTCGAAAATTTTATTTAGTAGTAAAATTAAATTAAAAATTAATTCTGACTTCTGAATAAATGCCTGTCTTTCCCTGGGCAACAAATCCTTAGACAAAGGTTGAGATATATAAGGAAAGAAAAGCTCCCACTCACATGTTGAAGGCTTATTTCCGAGGACATACAATGAATTTACGACAGCAAAGAAATTTTTCATTCCAACATTAGTGTCATCCCACGGAAAAGAACATCTGCAGACTTCAGGAATGACATAACCAAATGTGGAAGATGAAATTGTCACATGTTACATTGTTCTTAACTAATCCTTGGATTCGGGAGAAATTTCTTTATTTTCACATTCTGCTTACAGTTAGAATTATATTGGCAGGAGTCTTGGTCAGAAAGTGCTAAACATTTTTCTCTGTATTTTCATACCTAAACATGCTTTGATACAATTTCCTCTATATTCATTAATTGGGTCTAATACTCTCTTTAGTCTCATTAATGTTTTACGTTTTATTGTTTAATTTTTTACGTTTTATTGTTGGTGGGCTGGAAAAAATATGGTCTGTATTTCTTAAGGGGGGGACCCTTGAGATATTACATTATAAAATATAGTCAGGGTTTTAATTTCAACTACAGCCCGATTGAGTTATTTCTTAGTTTTTGAGCGAAACTGTAATTCCAGCTAGAGCCCTAAATATGATGAGGTTTGTTATTTTACATAAGTTATTTATTTACCCTTAATTTAATTATGTATTAAATTTTTATTTTTCTTTTTGTATTTTTATTGACAATTTATAGTAAAAATTTAATTATCTTAATTATTAATGATTATATTATTTTAATTTTGTATCGGTCATTTTTTCATCTCTTTCCTGACAGTCTTCTATAGGGCTCTGGCTAACCCAGAATCATTTGTTTTATTAAATACAAAGGAAGTCTTCATATACATTTTGTTTCTTTCAATGCAAATTACAGGTAAGCATTTTCAAGGTTTTATTCATTAGTATTTGAATTTATCAACAGTGCATTATGTTGCTAATATATTTTTCTTTCTTTCTGTGTTGGTAACTTTTACCTTGAAGTAAGTCCCAAAAAGGAAAGCCTGAAATTTCTTAGAATTACCACTCATATGATATAATATATGAAATTAAATTACTGATTGTTAAAAAAGCATTCTATAGAACAATTTTTGTTTCAAGTTACTGAGATGATATTTTAAAAATAAATTATGTGTTACGATACAAGCCTTAGTTAAAAGGGTAAAACAGCTGGAAGTGGATTGCAAACTACAGTTTGGCCATGCCTACTATAAACAATAATGCACATTATTTGGTTCTCGTAATTTGTTTCTCCCTTTTCAATTAAAGAACTTCTAGTGTAAGCTACATTACACAGTCATGCATTTTGTAATTTATGTAATGTAGCTATGAATGTCCTTACATTTATGCAATATTTTGTAACAAAATTTGCATGAAAGAATATTTTCTCCTTAGTCATAGTATATTTAAATATTTGTAAACATGTGTAGACATATCTTACAGATTTTCCCTTCCTTTTATGTACTTACTGGAAATTTATGCAGTTTGAATATATATTTTATTTGTAAATATGTGCATGTAAATACACCTGCATTGCTTTAAAATTTAATCACATTCAATAACTATCATATATTTTGTTCATACTTTTTGGCATATGAATAAATCTCATCGTTATTTATATTCATAATTAATAGACTTGCAGTACCTATATTGAGCACAAATTGTCATCAAACCAAAGGGTACAGTATATGGCCAAATGTATTTTGATATATTCCTTTATTAATAAATAATATACCCAGTCTAATTTCTTATTACTTTTTAAATTATTTAATTACATTTAAAAGATAACCACAGGTACAGGTTTGCTTTCAAATTAGATGCTGCTGTATGCTTTATATATTAGCTTGCCAAATGCTAAAGTTTAAATAAGTATAGTACAATAAGTTTATACTATGCAAAAGTTATAATACTCTGTTCGACTCTAAATGGTATGATTAAATAGAAGTCTTTATTAATATTTTATTCTTGATTTAATGGATCACATAAATTTAGTTGCAATTTGCAAATGGTCTGTATGAAAACATCATTTCTTCTGTGTAACATATAGACACAGCTTAATAAAGCAGCTTATGTGTGACAGTTGTATCAAGGACTTGGGCTTGCGCATAAGTCGAGTTGGTATTTTAAAAAATTGATTGACAAACCAGAATTTTTGTCTTAAATCTGACTCGGGAATAAGACACTGCATTAGGTCCGATGGTATGTTGAGGTATGTTATTGAGAAAATAATTATGTTTTATTTTCAAAATTAAATTTGGTCAAAATTTAAGAAAATTATTACATATCAATATTTAATAGTCTTAATAAATAGAATGAAATAATTGAGTTAATAGCAACTTTAAAATTTGGGCAGCAAAGAGTATTCCAGGAATATTCTGTTTCCATTTCATATCATCCCAGAACATTCACAAGTTGTTTGCAATATTCCAGGCATATCACAAAATACTTTATGATTTTTCAAGAAATGTTACAAACATATTCATATTTAGAATATTCTTCTAATGTACTGAAAGGAATATGCCTGAAACATTCTTAATATATTTCATGGGAATATTCTTCTACACTGTAAAATATCTTTTGTCTGCTCTTAAAAAGTGGGCCAAGCCATGAAAAAGAGACCTTTGAGATGTTTTTATTGTATACAAATGTAGAGGAAATCTAGATGTTAAAAAATAATAAATGTGCTTTCGAATTACAGCCTAAATTTTTGGAACATTGTTAGAATATGTAGAAAATATACATTGGGAAAACAGGTAGACATGGGTATATTTTAGTATATGATTTGAAGATTATGGGATATCTCAAGAACATTCTTGTGACATTATCACATATAATCTTCAGAGGGCTTATTGAAATTAATGTACATATATTCAAGGACTAACAAAAAAAATCATATGCGAGTTCATCAGATATGTGATATTAATATACTTGAAGAAAACAAGAGACTTTATCCAAATTCTTTCCCAAAAAGGTGACAAGTAGTCATAAAACTATCAAAAGAGTTTTACCTTTTGATAGCATACCTTGAGAAGTAACAGATGGGCACAGTGCACAAGGAAGTCAACATTTTGAAAGAAAAAGACAGGTATACACTTCGAGAAAGTAATTCTAAACTAAGGCAAACTTTGGGAAGAAAGCAGTTTTTTCCAACTAAAAGTCAGGACTAAAGAATCTATCTCCTTTCCTTTTCCATCTTACGAATTTTGTCTGGAGATAGGAAAACCAGGACAAACTGATGACCTAAAAACATTACTTTGATTGCAGAAAGTGTAAAAAATGTAGAATTATGTAGAATTAAACATTGTTGATTTACAAAAGAAGAGACTTAAAAATTGAATTTACAATTTATTATTCTGTTTAATTAATTTAGTTCCAGTGAAATTATTTCTTTTCCTTCTAGTGTATAATAGAAATTAAAGTACAATATTTGTGCATAATTTTATGCTTCCTCATTTGAAATATTAATTTTTTTTAAAAAAAGCTGTTTTATATTTCTATAACAGAGTGTCTTCTGCTTTTAGAGAAATATTTGGAAGAAAAGTTTTTAATGAAATGAATATGAAAAAAGCACTTAGTCTATTTTTGCAAAGCCTAGATCTCAATTTGATGAAATAAATTATGCAATGAAAGGCAGACAGTTCACCAGTTTCAGAGCCTGAGTAAATTTGATAAAATATAAAATCAGTAAAACTTAGTAATGAATCAAAGTAGCAAATTTATATTTACAAAAGGGAAAATCAGCTAACACAATGTAAACACTGATATAATCATGACAAGCACAGACATCAGTGATTTTCCTATTAAAACCAATAAATAAAAAATTACATTCTTGTTTAATCTGAAAGTAATCTACGTCAGTTTCTTGATTTAAGATCAAAACTAATTTTATCTACTGAGTGTCTAGATTTTTTTTCCCCCTAAATTTATTTGAACTTAAGTATGTTAAGTAAACAACTCAAGTTTATTGTAACTGGTAGGAATTTAATAGATATTTATGTACTTGGTGCTACTGGAAAGGTTGGAAGAGATGATTGAAGCTAATACTCATATATTCAAGTAGATAATGGCAATAGATAATCTTCATTACTTTTACAAAAAATTACTGTATATTTTATCATAACATAATGAAAACATTAGAGAACATCATGCAATGTAAAATTTAATTGTTTTCTTTGTGCTTCTAAATGAAAGTAAAATTGTTTTTCTTTCTATTTCATAATCCTTTCATGTTTCACTTTTAAAATGGGGGGGAGGTGGCTTTTTATTTAATGAATTCTTAAAAGGCTAGCATTCAGTTTAAAACTGTGTTCCAATCTAAGAGTGAATTTTCTTTTTTTCCTAAAGCTGGAATGCAACTTTTAAATTATTTTAAAAATTATTAAGTATTAAAAAATTGTTTTGTATTGTTTTTGCCCAATCAAAATTAACTTTTTGCAAATATTCATTTAAAAATTAGAAGGAACGTAACTGTTTGAATCAGTCCATAAACTCAGGTTTCCTTAAATAAGGCCAAGAAAGAGAATGAGTATTCTTTAATCATTAAATTCAAAATTTCGAAAAAGATAAATAAATTAACAAAACACCTTTCTGAAGTAAAAGCAAACGACTGTTAATTAATTGCACTGCTTGCACAACAGATGGCATTGGAAAAAAAGAAAAAAAAACGAAACTAGTCTCCATGTTTCTGTATTGTGTGTGATATTTCGGAGACCTTGATTTGCTCGGCTCATCGAAATACCGAGCGAAACTACTTCCCCCCTCCCTTACCATTTTGAAAACCTGTTTGTCTCCGCATGTGAAAGAGAAGTCTTCATTTTATTCTCTCATACTAGTTTAAAGAAAATAGCATCTGAGATTTCTCAAAATGGATTCCGAAATTTTCGACTTTATACGAAACTAGTACCTCTTTTGTTCCATGTATTTGGGATGTCTCTTTTCATTTGTTTATTTTTTTAATTCTTGCTCCTTGTCTAACAGTCACTCCTTCTCCCTTCTCCCCCTCCCTACCCATATGGTTTATTCCATTTCAGCAAGCGTCGATCCGGGAGCTAGTTCTGACGTCACTAGCTGATCTTTAGGGAGGTGTTAATCGAGGCGTTTACTCAAATTTTCGATTGAAAAATTTATTTTTGTGCCTTATTTTTTGTTTTTAACTTGTATATTCATCTTCAAATCTGCAACTTCAGCCTGCTAAGTTTACATGATAAAAGCATCAAATCATCGATTGTCTGCGCCATTACTTAAAGCAGAATTAAAGAGAAGTTGAGCTAAGAAATGAAATCAGCTGACAGATATCACTCTTGATAGTACGTATGATTTTGAAATGTATTTCTATTTAAGTACTAAAATCTTTGTAAGATCTTGATTAACAATTCTCTTAAAAGTAGAGATATTACTTCTGATCATATTGTTTCATAGCTAGAATTGACCCCTCCCCCTGCATAGTTACGGAGGGTATCCTAATCATGTTGTTGTCTCTTCGTGCAAGTTCCTAATTTTAATTTCCAGTTGTGGGGTTTGCTTTGATAAATCTTTTTTCAAAGTTATTTTAATTTGACAAGTAGTAAATATTTAAATACCGTACAAGATTGTCATTAACAGCGCCATCTTGCGAGTCTGGTTATTTCTTTAATCTTTGTCTGAGTAGTTTAATAATCCGTCAAAAATCCAGAAATGATAAAGCACTTAACAACTCTCTCCTATTTTTTAAAAAAAAATTCCATGGAATGAGATTTTCGTTGCTTTTCTGACTATTCAATGTGACATAATTATCGAAATAGAAAATGCGTAACATTTATTATTTATTTTTTTTCTGTATTGATTATTTCTTTTAATTTTCCTCTATTTGATTTGTATTTAGTTGTTTATTGTGTAGCCTCCTTATGAAAATTTTTGTGTCTGTTAGTGAAGATTGGTATCTTCTAATCTTCTCACTAAATAATCGGTCTTTTGCAATCTCTTGTGAGGGAGATTGCGTAAAAATATTACTATCGATCTTTGAAGGCTGAAGCAGATGTGGTGATAAATTATAGATCGGGACATCATTGCCACGTTTAAAACACTTGTCCTTCCTTTTCATATTAAAATGTTCTTAAGCTAAATTTCTAAATATGGTTTTCAAGTTTGGGGTTTTATACACATTACTGTTATATATCATATTTTCGTGTATTCACAAGTTTTGGACTTGGACATCAATTTGTGTAAAGAATGTTTCCACAACTAAAAAGTTTTACTATCATTTTTAATAAATAAAAACTGGAATTTTCGGTAATAATTAATTTTTTCATGCACACTTATTATTTCTGGTAGTAAACGAAGTAAATATCTTAATATAAATTGTACCTATATGAATAATCTTTGGTAACAGTGGTTAAGTAATGAAACATTTGTATATGCTTTTGTGTAAACAAATTTTCAGCGAGCCTCTAAAATAACCATTTTATAAGAAAGGGCCTACAGAAAGATAAAATAGCAGTTGAAGCAAAATAATAATCATAATCTGGTTTTTATTAAAAAATAGTTAAAATTGTTACTGTAACTTAAAAAATATGTTATATGCCATCTTTATAATACAGATTTGCCTGTGAAATCGATTTCTTGCCTCATTTTTTAATTTTCCTGTTAAGGGAAATTATACACTGAATGTTTGGTATTTTAATCAGTATGTAATTCACCCAAAAGAGGTTAAATGCTGGGCTCTATTTTAATGATTCCTCCCCCCCCCCTCTTAAGGAAAAGCAGAATCCACCTCAGCATTAAGAGTACAGTTTTTATTTATAACCTTTTCACAGACTAGCAAGTTAAATAGCAATTAATTAATATTTGTGTTGCTAAAATGAATATTAACAGTTTTTCAAAATAATGCTTACTTTTTATCAAAAACACCATATTAATTAGCCCCATTAAAAAAATATTCATAAATGCTGATCTAATGAAGATTGTTTAGAAATTTATGGCAGCTGTTGGAATAGGAAATCAAAAGGCTGGCTGATTGATATGGTGGTTTTGCTAAAGAATATTTAGTGAAAGCATGCACTGACAACCTGTACTAAACTTACACTGCACATGAATATAAAAATTATTTAATGATAGATGAGGCAACTTTTATCCATTGTATTTTTTACAGTATTCCATATTCTTATGCAGCTTTGTCAATTTTTAGCATATTTGCATATTCCGTTTTTAAAGAATAACAAATAATAATTATCTTCTTTTTAATTAGTTACTTTTTTATAATATTTATATTTATATTTTAATAGCAGAGATGTGTAACAGTTTAAAATGTGTGCATGTTTTCCTTCAGTTAAATTAAGCCAAAAAAAATGCAATATTTCAGTGCTGTAATCTTGCTTATTGCATGGAAAGAATTTTCAACCTTTGTCTCCTATTATTATTTTAGAAGTTTTCATTTGCTTGCAGCTTTTGCTATAATTTTGCAATGATGTTCAGGTAATGCAGCAGTTTATCAACAGATTAATAAATGACTGAGAATGCAGTATGACAATTGCTCTATGCTATATATTGCAGAAAGTCAAAAAAGTAGTAGTAAACCAACCAGAGGCTTAGTGCCAGATTGATTCAGGAAAGACTAAATTGCCAATTTTGCACCATACAGTGGCGGATAAAATGTTCGCATAGTTCTAAATTTGCTACCAAAAAAAAAAAAAAAAATTACCAAATTTGAGCCTGATGAGGCTTAATTTAAAAATAATGTCTCCTCTTGAAAAAAAATGAGAATGTCACTTTTTCACAGACACTGAGTTAAAACAAAGGTTTGCTATTCAGTAGTGTTGGGAAAAAATATAAAGATTACCCCAGAATTAAAGCAAAAACGATTTCAGATTGTTTTGTTTTTATAATCTGTCATTTAGCTTCGTATGTATTTAAAATGTATGTTTAGCATAAATCACTAAACTGATAGTCCCTTGAACAATTTTTCATGGTCTGCAAATATGTTTCCTGTAAATTAATTAGCAGTATTATAATGTTAATTACTGTGGCAAGGCAATAAAAAGAAAGTTCAAGATTTTAATAAAGATTTATGCTTTAGTTATGCATTATTTTCATCAGCATTTGTAACACCCAAGAAAATCTACAAATGGAGTTAATTAATTTTTATGGTAATATAAATCTTATTCAAAGATTTGAAAGATACAAGATAATTTTTTTATTTTATTTTTATTTAAATCTTTTTAATCAATTTTGATGTATGTATTTTATTAAGCAATCAACATCATAAATTTCACATATCTCTTTGTGAGCCTCAGCAGCATTCTTGACTTTATGAAAATAAAAAAGTTAGATATGTCAAATGTTTATTTTTTCACCCCATGTTAAAACTGACTGAATTAACATTTGAAAACAAAAATGCATGGAATTAATTTGTATAGCAACCTGAAAGTGTCAGCTGCCAAATCTCAAAAGGAAAAAAATATATGAGATTGACCTAAGAATAACAAAATGAACAATGCTATCCATTTGTGTAACCAAACAGTTTTTTTGCAGTAGGAATGATTGCTTCATGTGAGAGTATATTTACATATGACAGTCTTTTCCGCAGTTAAAAATAGAAGGAAAAAAAGTTTGACCAGTGAGTATTTGCAATTATTGATGAAAATGGTTTTTAGTAATTTTTCTCCAAGGTTAAAAAATTTTATCCAAATAGACAAACAATAAAATATAATTGTAAGAAGTTTATAATTATTTACACATGTATTTTTGTCTGTATACATCAAAGAAAAATTTAATAAAATAAATTACCATCTGACTATTTCATATTTAGCTGTCAATTTAGTTGTCTGAATTATAAAGTGTAATTAACACAATCTCTTGCAGACACTAACCTCTAGATTTCGAACAGAATTTTTTTTTCCATCCTTATTATTGCTGTTTGTGTATGCTTTAGTAAATAAAACTAAAAATTTTGTTAAAAAAAAAACCTTTTGTTTTGTTGTTTTAAAAAAATCTGTATTTGGCCCACCTGCAGTTTGAATTGGAAACCACTGGTGTAAATAATTTTTTTTTAAATTTATATATAAATAATTTCGTTTAGGTAGACTAGTAAAAAGAAATAAGTTAACTATAATTGAAAAATTGGTACTTCATTTCTAGAGTGTCGACTGCATAAGCCTTTTTTTAAAAAAGTTTGACCAGTGAGTATTTGCAATTATTGATGAAAATGGTTTTTAGTAATTTTTCTCCAAGGTTAAAAATTTTATCCAAATAGACAAACAATAAAATATAATTGTAAGAAGTTTATAATTATTTACACATGTATTTTTGTCTGTATACATCAAAGAAAAATTTAATAAAATAAATTACCATCTGACTATTTCATATTTAGCTGTCAATTTAGTTGTCTGAATTATAAAGTGTAATTAACACAATCTCTTGCAGACACTACCTCTAGATTTCGAACAGAATTTTTTTTCCATCCTTATTATTGCTGTTTGTGTATGCTTTAGTAAATAAACACTAAAATTTTGTTAAAAAAAAAACCTTTTGTTTTGTTGTTTTAAAAAAATCTGTATTTGGCCCACCTGCAGTTTGAATTGGAAACCACTGGTGTAAATAATTTTTTTTTAAATTATATATAAAATAATTTCGTTTAGGTAGACTAGTAAAAAGAAATAAGTTAACTATAATTGAAAAATTGGTACTTCATTTCTAGAGTGTCGACTGCATAAGCCTTTGGCAACTAAGCACAATAGCTGCTTCGAGGGATTTTGGGAAAAATCAGATTTTTTAAATTCCTCGTCAATCACTTGTGTGTTTCTGATTGTACAAATTTCTTCATTTCAATTATGTTCTCTTTCCTTTGTTAAGTAATGAAGAATTCTGAAATTTGTTTTAAGTATCACTAGTAATTCTTAAGTATTGGTGTAGGCTCTGTGTAGAACACAAAGGCTGCATAATCATTGATTAATTATTAAATGATGACGATGCAAAATTTCAAATTCAAATATTGTTTTATTTATAATACTATTCCAAACTGCTACAGTTTACAAATAAAATAAAATACTTAACAGTGTTTAAATACTGCATGTATTTTTGGTACTTTTTTTTATAGCAGTCCCCAAGATGGAATCGCTAATGAACTAGAATATCTCATGTGTTCTTATATCTCAGTTGATTAGCGATTAAATTTTAGGGGGCCACTGTAGTAAGGAAATAACTTTTTTTTTTATTTGACAGTACAATGCTATACTTAAAACAGTATTTGTTTTAGCCTTTTATCTTAAGGACAGTGACAAAATAATTGTAATTTTATTTCATTTATTTATTTATTTGTGCAATATGGCCTATTATCTATTTGGGGGGGGGAGTAGCTTTTTCCTGTCCATTGAACTTTTTGTAGTAAACAACAGGCAACAGAAAATTACTATTAAAATTTCGGGGAATCGAAGGTCCGCTCTTCATTTAAGTATTCGCTCTACATAAAGTTTTTATTTTTTAATATCCCTTTAAATTCATTTTACTAATTATTTGCTCCTACAGATTGCTAAGTTTTTAAAAAAATACTGTTTGCTAAGTTTTTAAAAAAATACTGTGATGCAGTAGTTGAGCTAGAAGTACACTGCACACAAAAAAGGGGGGACAGTTCTATATCCCCCGTTCTACTGGGCCGATTGACGAAATTCAAATTGAGTTTTTCATGTCTCAAAAACACGACTTGGGATACATATTAGATTTATATATATCATTGTTCTAATATAGGTATTTTTACACAAAATCAGACTTTTTCTGAAATGACATGCCAATTTATTCTATATTTCAATTCTGTGGCTCAAATTATGCCAAACTGCCAAGTTTTGCAAAAGTCGCATGAGTAGTTTTTAAAAAATTAGCTCTTCAGTGTTAATTAAATTTGATATGTATTTATTAAACTTATTTGAATCTTCCTTTCATATTTCGAAATTTAGGTTCATTCCAAAAAACATTTGTATGATTTATTTTCATAGATTTTTCGAAAAAAGTGTGAATTAAAACCTATAAAATTTTTGCCATCATCTTAAAGTAGATGTATTTCTAAGCATACCTGCAAAAAAAAAAAAATTAGGTTTTTTTTTTATTCCAAATTTCCTAAGATATACCTAATTTACATTTTGGCACGTTTCGAAATTTGGCGTATTTATTATAAGCGATGATGATGAAAATGTGGTGTACACGCTTAGTTAAAATTATTTGAAGGTATGAATGATGACTTTTTTCTGCCTGTTGACAATAAAAAAAGAAAATAGGTTGCTATAAACTAAGAAGTTCGCCAAGTGAATTATTCTTGTCTCAAACTGAAAAAAAATGTGCCAAGATAATTTTTTTAATTTCTCACCAAAAATTACAAAATTTAATATATAAGCATAATTTGAATCATAGAATCGAAATATGAGAAGAAAAATTGGTATGCTATTTCAGAAAAAGTCTGATTTTGTGTAAAAAGACCTGTGTTATAACTATGCTATATATAAATCGAATATATATCTTAAGTCACGCTTTAGAGACATGCAAATACAAATTTGAACTTTGTCAATCAGCCCAGTAGAATGAGAGATATAAAACCGCCCCTCCCCTTCTGGGGGGGCAGAGTATTCATTTTATAATTTTTAAGAGAAAATAATTTAATCATAAATAAATCATTACAAAAGTAACAGAAATTTTATCTGGCATCTTTAAATTTAAATATCAATATTTTCAATTAAAATGCTAATTACATCTTGCATGATATATTGATAATCAGAGTGGCACTGATCATTTGCATATTTTATATTTTCAGTTACATCATTTTTTTATTTTACAGATGGCAGATTTTGCTAATTTTATCTTAACCTTGAAATATTTGTAATGACTGTGAAGCACAGAGTAGTTCAAAATAGATCATACATTTTCATTGGAATATTTGGTATGTGTTGATTTCCCCGGTAACTAGCACTTAATTGATAAGTTTGGTGCTGTCTATTGCCAAACAGTATAGTCAACTTAAAACCAAGTAGTAATCAGAATTTTAAAATTGTCCCCACTTCCCCTAGTATTTATTTTATGGCATTTCAGCAATAAAAGGTGAAACTTATTTAATGCCAAATCTGCCAATTTATGGCCACCTGAAAAATAAATTTTTAAGGAGAAATTTGCATTTTTCGTAATAAAGTAAGGGCTGTTGCCTACACTTAGATCTTTAATTGCCTGTAAAACTGTATAATTAGGTGATGTATTTGTCTAATTATACAGTCATGGAGTAAGTTTTGGTAGTCTTTTTATCCTAGTAACTGAGGGAGAGAAGATGGTATTAGCATAATTCAGGCTTTATAAAATACTCTTTGTTGCTGTATGTTGTTTTTCTCTTAGATTATAATTAGAAATCGTAGTTTATAATATATATTCTAGTGCTTTTTTATATGTGTGTGTATAATCAATTTATCATCATATCTCTTGTAAATTTTAATAGTTATTTAAATGTTGAATGACTAGCCTGTGTCTTGATTTTATAAAAGATATTATTTAATGAATCACTATGTTAATTTTACAAAGTTTCATTTTAAAGGACTAAATTCAAAAAATATACCAGAGTAGCAAATTTACTAAGATCTTTATATTCTAACTTTAGAAATTGGTAGTAACTCCAATACTGTTAGAGGGCAGTAACATAGTTGGATTGGTGGATATTAATGTATGAGATTGGTTAGTTGTTTGATAAAAGGAATTTTAATAATACTGACTGTAATTAAAACTACTCTAATAATTATGTTTGTTCTCTGAATACCTTATATTCATTCTACTGCGGGTGAGTGAAATTTTATTGGTTAGTTGTTTGATAAAAGGAATTTTAATAATACTGACTGTAATTAAAACTACTCTAATAATTAGTTTGTTCTCTGAATACCTTATATTAATTCTACTGCGGGTGAGTGAAATTTTCAGAAGTAACACAAATTTATTTTTGAAATTAAAACTTGCAATGAAGAATAAAGCAATGAATGATTTTACAATCAAAAGTCGTTAATTCGGACACCCATAATCCGGAATAATCTATAATCCGGACTTCAAAGCTACAAAATTTCTGCGCATGCGTCACGTTGATGCATGCGCATAAGACCTTTACGGCTGCGAATATGCATGTGTGCGTGCGCAAAATATGTTTACAAATGCGCGTTTAATGTGTAACGGACGGTATAAGCAAAGCTAAAATTATCTAATTCAGTTAATGTTGCAAATTGCGTTGTTCCTTAATCTTCGAATTAGATTCGGCTTATTATTTTTTGCAGACTGTTAGAGCAATTTTATAAAAATAAGCTTGAACTTTTGATTATGTCAAATAGAATTTCTGATATATATTTACTAATATGTAAAGGATCTACAAAGCGAAAGTATATTTTGCAGTGCATTAAACAAAAAGTGGAATTGCTGCAAAAAATGGATAAAGGCATATCCTTTGTTTATCTAAACTTTAACATTTGTTTATCTTTAACGCTGGGGCGCCCAATGAATTAGAAGTTGATCTGTCAGCTATCCTTATCTTCAGGGGCAGATCTATAATCTGGAATCGCCGAAGTCCCAACGAGTCCGGATTAACGACTTTTGACTGTATTTTATTAGGAGAGGAATAGTAGGATAAAAATCAGTATTTTATAATACTATTACATATGAATACTATTTATTTTATTGAAATAATTGATGTTTTTTCCTTCTTCATTTAAACCACTTTTTTATCGCCAAAAATTTTAAATGAAAAAAAAAAAAAAAAAAGAACAGTATTGAGCAAAGTAAAAAAAGGCATCAGCGAGTTTCTCACTTCCAAAGTGCATATGATGCTAAGTTAATGAATTTTCTCTAAAAGTGGCTCTTTATTTTATATTCAGATTTGAAATGCCATTAAGTCTTACTTACATTTTGCATGCAAGTGTCTTGGTTAGTAATTATCTTTTTTCTTTCTCTTAATAGGTGGTTGCCGCTATCAAGTACTTTGCAGCATTTGTTCGTATTGTGAGGTGCTGTTACTGCAATTACTGTGACAAAATAAATATAGGCTTTTATGTTATTCTCTCATAACTAAAGTTTGCTTCTTAATCTGGATTAGAGGTTAGTTTTGAAATCGCAACACCATGTTCATATTGAAATTTTCGTACTATGTTTTTAATCCATTGAATCATTTATTTAAATATGTATATGGATGTTTTTTGATCAAATAAGAACACTTCAAAGTTATGTTCTTCAGGTAGCTTCAAGTATATGTATATTAAGTTTTTCAAAATTGCATATTTTATGAGATGCATTCCTGTTTTTGTAAATAACATATGCAATTGCATATGATTTGTGGTAATTTATGCATATGTTAGAAAACTGAAAATTTATTCTGTATTTTGTTAGCGTATTTTGTAATCAAAATTTTCAATTTAAGAATATTGAATTGAAGTATGATTTTTAATGCATTTTATTTAGGGAAAATTTAAGAGGGGAAAGAAAAAAAAACGACTTTTAATTTTCATTTTATTATATGATTTTTTAAAGCATTGCTTAAATTTTAGCAAATACATTATGGCTTCAACTGCAAATTTAAATAATGTTCCTGGTGCAAAACCATGCAATATTTGTGAACACTGCCGGAAATATTACCTTGGACTAAAGCCGCATGAATTATATGCACAGTGTGTGGAACGTCCATTTATGTGCACGTACTGTGACAAGACATTTACTCGCAAGGACAAACTCAGTGACCATATAAAAATGCACACAGGCGAGCGTCCTCATGTATGCACTCATTGTGGGAAAAGTTTCACTCGTAAGGATAAGCTTACTGTTCATATCCGCATCCACACTGGCGAGAGACCTTATATATGCCCACACTGTAGCAAAGGTTTTGCACGGAAAGAGAAATTAGGTGCCCACATGTGTATACATACTGGCCAACATCCTTATCATTGTCCTCATTGTGGGAAAGGCTTTGCATGGAGAGATAAATTGGTGAATCACATACGTATTCACACTGGCGAACGACCATTTGTTTGTAAACAATGTGGAAAAGCTTTTGCACAAAATGATAAGTTGACAACACATATACGTATACATACTGGTGAACGCCCATTCGTTTGTAAGCACTGTGGTAAAGCTTTTGCTAGAAATGACAAATTAACTGTTCATGTGAGGATTCACACTGGCGAGCGTCCATTTGTGTGTAAGCATTGTGGTAAGGCCTTTGCTAGAAAAGATAAATTAACAGCCCATATACGAATGCATACTGGTGAACGTCCTTTTGTGTGCAATCATTGTGGTAAGGCATTTGATTTAAAAGGAAAGTTGAATGCTCACGTGAATATCCATACGGGTAAACATCCATTTGTGTGCAATCATTGTGGTATAGGCTTTGACCGCAAAGAAAAGTTAAATTCTCATCTATTATTGCACTTAGGAAGTAATCCCTGTGAAACACTTATTGTTAATCCTCTCATTGCGAAACCATTGTAAAGAAATGATTTTTAGTTTGTCAGTATATAAATTTATTGTATTTCCCCCTTCCTTGTGGTTGAGAACTCTTGTTATTCAAATGCAGTGTGCATTTTGCCATGTTCTTTTAGCTGTGATCAAAATAGATTCGCTTTGGTTGGTAGTTACGTTTGTGTGAGCTTCTTTGGAGTTTATCTGTAAACAAAATGTAAATAATTATTAAGATCAAAAGCTGATTCTTGCATTTTTATGTAGATAAATGCAATAAAGTTCAGTAAAATTTTGAAATTTGTCTAATTTATTTTGTAATTTATAACACAGACATGAGTAATCATTTACACTCATATGTACACATTAATTTAAAACATTAACAGTTGCATTTAAATTATTTAATGCTGCAGTTTTTAAAAAACTTAGTTTTATTACCGTTGAGAGCAATAGTTAGTGACAATATAAGAAAGCTCCAACCAAATCGTTTCTATGATTGGAACTTGTCAAGAAAAATTTATTAGAATTTTAAAAGGTAAACTATATTGTCTAATTTGACATGGGTACTCAACCACAAACAGCAAATAACCTAATATTTCTTGTCAACCTATCTAGGAAAATTTTGAGTTTTTTTTTTTTTTTTTTTTTTTTTTTTTAATATTAGCTCAATTGCATTATTTTTTTCCAGGATTTATGAAATTGGGGTTCCAGAAAAAAAAATGAAGTAAGAATCTTCTCTTTTTTTAAATATGTAATTGGGTTGTTTTATAATGGATGGGAGTTTTATTTGCATTACATTCAACACTTCTAAGAAATCTATTTACAAAGGCAAAAGAACATCTAAATGTGCCTTAAAACATAAATACATCAGTTATTACCTTTTTTAATTAAATTCTGATCAAATTTACTGAAATTACTATTTTCATGTTATATAAGCTAGATTCTTCTTCTTCTTTTTTTTTTTTTTTTTTTTTTTTTTTTTTTTTTTTTTTTTTAAATCTTAAATTGACTTGATGAAATGTTCTTAAGAGTCTGATTTTTCATTTCTGTTTTAAAATATTTCATTACTGCTGCTGCTGCTAAGTTAATTGTTACAAATAAATACTTAACAATGAATTATTTAGGTGGTATCATTAGGATTCATAAGCGCATAAATTGCGGTAGTATAAACTTGAACCAGAAATATAATTAATTTTGTTTAAAAACTTTGCAAATAATAATAATCAGCAGGCAATTTAAAGACTTGATCTTAAAAAAGGTTATGCAATTTGTACGGTAATTCAAAATATTTTATGACTTAATGAATATATATTTTATTATGCATCATAGTTATATTAAATATTAATGAAATAGTTTTTAAATCAACGGCTAATTCTCTAGTTAACTTTGTAGATTTTTATTGTTTTTGGAAATGTAATGAAATTTCACATTCAAATCATCTTTCAAAATGATTAGTGTACTGTATTTAATATTAGCATCAGAATTTAAATAAACATTGAAATTTCACAAAAAACTAAAATTAATCTACTAAACTCTGAGTGTTCATTTTCTAAAGCTATCTTAAATTATATCTGTGAAATAAACAGAGTCTAGTAAATACAGGAATTCCTCTATGATAATTAATTCAGATCAAGTGATTAATAATATAACCTTCAGGTTTAAGCCGTCAGTAAGCATTTAAAAATTATCTTGCAACAAGTTGTTGCTTCACTATTTATTTGATGAATTCAGTTAGCTGTCTTGAGAGTTCTTATAAGTGTCATTCTAACTTCCCACCTCAATTAAAAAGGCAAAATAAGGTATTTTAAATTAGGCTTAAGCTGAATATAATATGCTATGTTTGAAAGAACATGCAGTTTGTTGTATAATTAAACAAAATAAATATTTGTTTTTCAAAAACATGTTATTTATGGAGGGGGAGGGTAGTCAAAGCCTCAATCCTGTAATATTAGTATCGTAATGTTAAATAATCAATAATATAATGTGCAGTAATAAAACTCTGGAGAAGCATTTGTAGATGCATTCAACCTAACATCTAGCCCTGGTGCTGTGCCTCTACTTTGTCCTGCCTTACCGTTGTTAACTCAATATTTAGCTCTTCTAGAACATGCAGCCATATTCACTATCACATATTAAGTGTTTTGTGACCAAACAGCAACTATCTTCAATCCTCATCATTATTTGTATTATGCATGCTAGGTTTTGTAAACATAGCTGCTAGTTTTTTTTTTTTTTTTTTTTTTTTTTAAGAGCTTGCAGTTTAGCAACTTGTCTAAAAACAGTTCATTTATAAAATGAGTTGGCTCCTTCTTATATTTAATTATATCTTTGGGTGTACGGGGAGAGAGAGAGAAGATTACAAGGCCTGTTTTTTCTGTCAGAAATTCAAACGAAAAAACTACTAGTAGTGAGGGCTTTTAATTCAATTACTACCATTCAATTACTGTTAGCACTTTTATTAAAGTGAATTTTAACAAAGGATCATTTGTATATATTTTTTCAATAGCTACTCAAGTTAAGCATTTTTTTATTTAGTTTTTACATTTACAATGCTGAAAATGTTGCTTTTAAATCCTGCCCCTTGGTAAATATTTGTTAGTCAAATTTACAGATAAAAATTTAAATATCAGAAAAAGAATATCCAAATCAAAGACCACCTGGAGCATTTTTAAGTAAATTTGAACATCAGTGTAAAAATCCCTCCAAATAATTTTAAAGGGCTATACAATAAAAGTAAATATATATTATTGTTAGTTATACTTCCATATTCTTGACTTATTTCTTGATTTTGTAAATATTTTAAATAGCAAATATCCATTGTGCATTTAACGTTGCATTTTAATATAGTGTGTATTTCCTGTAAATATTACTAACATCTTTTAAGTGGATGCTGTTTAAATCTTGTTTCGAGTAAAAATAAAAATGCTTAAAAATATTGAGAATTGCTGATAAAAGAAATTTAGGAATTTTTTTTCTAAATAAGTAGATTGAAAAAATGAGTTATAAGTTGTTTTTTTACAAATAAATTAGCACAGATGCTATCTCATTGTTATTTCAAACATGAGAGGGGTCACTGAATGATAGAAAGTGAATAAAATTTTGAAATTGTGTACTTTTGATATCAAAAAAACTCAATTACATATAATTGATATATTACAACATTATAATTTTTTAGTTAGAATAAATGTGCGCAGAATTATTTTGTATCAGGAATATCTAAAACATTATTGACTCAATTTCTTTAACCTCGTAGTCAAGTTATAAAGAAATTATATTAAATTTTTGAATTCTTGTTGAGTATATTTTTAACACATGAACTCGGAACTTTTTTCATAAAATGATCTCCAAGAATCAGACTTTTTATTCTATTTATACTGAAAAATAAGCCTAGTGATGAGATTTAGAAGCTGAGAAACACAATTTCCCTTATAACATATATATTATGGACTGTTTAGAAAATTCTTGATACTACAAACTGATGAAACACATGTAAACAGAATTTAGTCACTGTTTAAAAGAGTACGCTAGATCAGGAATTAGGATAAATCTTAAATTTTTTCAAATTTGAATCATAAAAGATCTTTCATATTGTCATATAAAAATGAGAAATAGGCCTAATTTTTTTAAGTTAAGAAATGAATAAAAGTATATTTTTTCTAAAGATTCAATGAAATTTAGTAGATGAAACTGTTAATGTTAGGTTTATTTACTGAAAAAATATATGAGTTACAGTTAAATTTTTTAAATTATTCTGGAATCTTCTAAATCAAAGTAAGTGAAGCGAGGGGGCTTATTTTAAGAGTTAATGTCGATAAACACTAAATATGGTATACTAAATTTTTTCTGGAAGATTAAGTAAAATCTAATATTTATTTTAGAAACTGCAACAGCTTTTTAAATGAATACATTGCTATGCATGAATAAAAACTAATGTTTTCAGGTTCTGAGTGAAAATTTGTACAGTTTTTAACATAAAATTTGAAAGATTCAAATAATGGAAAGATTATAAATGATTCAAGCTTTCAAATGTCAGTTTGCAAAATTTGAATGTCCTGTTTATTTTAAAAAGAAATTTCAATGAATTCTTTCATTTTGGAAAGATTTTTAAATCATTTAGTGGAACTTATCATAAATGTCATAATAAATGTAATATAGAACTGTAATTTTTTTAATTTAATCTTTATAATGAGATTGAATTTCATCTATTGGATTATGGCTTAACATTTTAGGACTATCCGACTAAGGAGAGAAATGGTCTTAATGGAAAACTTTCTAATGTTTACTATGTTACAGAATACGATTACTTTGGAATTAACGCTGATCATTGATTATAATTTGTAGGTTTCAAAACATATTTTGTATTAATTTAAGACATTGTCTTGTCTTATTATCAGGATAAGTAATTTTGTCCATTAATATTCATATAAATTCTATTTTTTAATTTTAGGCTTTTATATGGCTTGCATACAAGTTTTAGTGTTGACAGTAGAATTTGTATTAACCAGATTACTGATACTGCAACCCATCTGAATAAATGAGTTGCTTCTTTTCTTTATACCTAATATGTAACACTTGGTTGCAAAATTAAGAGAATTTGCACATTATGTTGAATTTCTGGAGAACTCGTGGACAGATTTTAATGAAATCTGGTATGAATATACATTTATAACAAAAAAAAGAGAGATACCATTCACAAGTCATTTTATGTGCCCATGATTATCAGTAAAGCTCATTGTGCAGGAATTCCAAAATCTGCATTATGATATCAAACTGAAAATGAGTCTAATATGAGATATGGTCGCGTCTTGCAGCCAGGCATGTTGCGCAGCGGGACGAACAGAAGGTAGTGGATTTCGCTTCTGCAGCAAGACAGTTTTTAACTCTGGGATAGTTGAACGAGTGTTGTTGTTGTTAATTAACAGGGACCCAGGCCAAACTGCGTTTCTGATTAGTCAAACAAAACAATTTGAAAATATTAGGGTTCTAAGATATGTCCTAGCAGTCAGGAAACCTTTGTCGAATACTTGCAGGGGTGTGTAGCCGTCCAACATAATGCCTGCCCAAACCATTACATTTCTATTATCGTAATGATCTTTTACCCTGATTGGGGGTTGTCCAATCTGAATCTCAATTCATCTGTAAAAAGCAAGGTGCTGCAATGAAGTTTGGTTGAAGGCTATGTTGTCTGCACCTTGCTAAATATCCTGTCTTATATGCTGCAGTGAGCAGGATACGAACAGCAGGTCTTTTGGCATAAAGCCCTATCTCATATCAAGGCTGAGGGCAACTGTAGACTGTGAAATTCGAGTTCGAGTGGCAGCATACAACTTGCATGAAAGCTGTGAAGCTGTAGCAGACCTCTATCTCCGTGCTAAACATGCCAAATAACGATATTCATTTGTCATTGTGGACCTTGGTTGACCTTATACAAGTCTTCTCAGTATGGATATAGAGTACTGAAACTGTTACTACAAATTGCAGACACTTGCATTGATCTCTGTAACCAACTGTGCTTGTGATTGGCCTACCTCCAATCTCCTGACAGTTCTCCATCTCATTCCATCATCAAGTTCGTGACTATTCATTTTACTTGATACCTTCTATAATATATAAACTTGCAAGAATTTCATGAAGGAGGAGTACAAGCACATTAAATCACCAAAAACCCCTCGTGCGCTTATCCCCTGCACATTTGCAGCTTCCTCAACACGCACTTGCAAAAGT